TATTACATAACTTTCTCTATACTTCGTATACGAGAAATTAACAAATGTTCCATTAAAATAAAGTTCATAGTTATGTTTTAAATTTGTCTCAATAGATAGTGGACATTAACCATTTAAATCAAGGATCTTGATTTTGTTATGAATTTGGCTTCCAAAGTTTATTTAAAAAGCTTTAACAGATTAAATATTTTAAAAGAGCTTGTTTTACCGTAAGAGGGTGTTATTAATTTAAAAATGCTTTATTATATTTGACATTATTGCTACAACTCAAATAACATAATGATTTAATAAAACATGACAGAAAATGAATCCAAGCAAGGAATTTGCAACTCAGAGATGTTCTCGGTCTTTGGTAGAAATGTTCATATAACGAAAAATTTTAAAAGAATGAACATCAAATAAAGTAATATAATTAAGTGTACAAAAATCTGAAATCCAAATCTCCGTTTTTATAGAAAACATCAAGCACACGTCCTCTCGTATGAAGCAACAGTTCTTCGTGGTATTTCGAGCGCACTTTGAACTTACCTTCCCCGCTACAGCATGCGCGTGTTTTCCCCTTCATGGAATTGGGGGGAGGGGGATGAGAGCCGAGTCCCCCAAGTTGCCCGTAGGCGGGCAAGTAGCTCGTGCGAGTACAATATGACAAGCCGGTGTTAACCGATAGGCTGAGTAGCGCTTCCGAATGGCCGCGGGTGAAGGCTGTCAATTAGACTGTACTACACGAAACTTCATTGACAGCGTCCGAACGCGTACCTGCCAAACATCTGTGCATGATAAGTTCTGTAACAATCAGAAACAAATGTCATATGTGTCTTCATAATATGTTTTGTCAGAATGGCTAAACAATTCGGAGTACGTAAATTGCAAATCATTATAATTTTGTGTAACCGATAAAGCAACTCTAGGCGACAGCATCTCCACGTGACCGGGCCGGCCGTGGTGACGGGGGCGTGTGTTTGCGTGCTCGGCAGGTGGGCACGCCGAAGGTACGCCGCCACACGGACACGGACACGCACCGGCACGCGCTGTTCGCGGGCTGCCGCGGCTGGGAGGACCGCACGCCGCCGCCGGGCGCCAGCCCCACCGCGCGCCCCGCCCCCAGCGCCGCCCCCAGCGCCGCCCCCGGCCACGCCCCCGCGCCGCCCCCGCGCGGCCTCGGCGGATTCCTGCGCAGCATGCTCCACGCAGGTGGGTGGCCAGCGCTTGGCACGTCACATTCGTCAGTACGAGGCGGATATTGATGACCCAAAACATCGCCAAAAATGATCAATAAAACGCTCTTAAAATGCCTTTATAATGCTCTAAAAGCAAAGAAAAAATTACGTAAAAAAATATCAAAATCAGTTGAGATGAACAACTCAAGCTGTTGGATATGTTACTGATGCAATCGAGGCTTCCTACTTTCGTTCAAGTGAACTCAACCTGCAAACTTTTGGTTTCGACCGTTCTTTACCCGAAAAGCTCTTCTCTTAAGTTTTCCCAAACTTATCTCAGTTATCTCTTAAGTTCTTCAGAAAATCTCTTAAGTTATCCCAAAATCGGCCTAACTGACAATGGCGCTGATAGGTGTCTCTCGAACCTTAGAATGCATACTCATAACGGCTGACATTAGAATTTCTGAGTGAAGAAATTGTTGCTAATCGTTGAAGAGAGCGTAGGCTACTAGATAAATCTGTGGAGAAAAATATTTGCACCGCATTACAATATTATTTGTAGGTTATTATTATTGCAATATTATTAAAATGCTATTAAAGTCGATGAAATCAGCGAAAAATGCTTTAAAAATTACAGGAAAACGTAAAACATTACTTATCAGTAGAAATCGATGGAAACTGCCAACAAAACATTCTTATAAAAATGAGTAATTTACTTTTGTCATAACATAAAATTAATGTCTATACTAAAAAACATTGTTCTAAAGTGAAAATAAAAGAATGACATTTCATTAAAACCCGCCCCTATTTATTAGTATCAATAGCTCACTACAAGAAATCCACATACATGAACATTCTTGTTTAATACTGGTACGTAACTTCAACACATTGCCAGGTGACATTAAACAATTCAAATCGATACATATGTTTAAGTACAAAGAAAAGTGTTCTCTGCTGCACAACTGTTTCTATAAAATTAGAGACTGTACAACCCATCAAAAAAAAGTAATATTTATTTTAACAATGATACGTAATGCATTGGTTAACCTTGGTGATGTATCAATTTAAAAGCGATTAAGCGTGCATGTAACAAGTAATGTTCTTCAGGTTCAGGGCCAATGACCCCCATCTCGATCAAGTTTTTGTCTATTTTCCCTGATCCATTGAGCAAATGGATCCAGTGAACCCCCTTGTTTTGCATCTGTATATAAAGGTAGTTTCACTAGGTTTACGTTTTGCTGATCTCTTCTTTTACTAGTTACGATAGGAGTAGAGTTATGGGTATGGATTTTTTTAACAGCACTAAAAAATAAAATCGGAAGTTCGTTTGCCGCTGCAAATAAATGTTTCATGACTCGAGAGATGTCTAGATTTGAAATTTTGCTAACATTACTTCGCAGATACTTTTAGTCATCATACAACTATTTATTGGCTAAGGGTAGGAAAGATTCTTCTGCATCTCACGAAGACAGGCGCAGATTGCACTTCATATGCATTCACGAGTAAGACACATTCAGTCGTCATTACTGTCGAACCTGAAGATCATAAATCAAATTAGTTAGGCTCTAAATTGCATTTATCGTAGGGAGGCGCTTAAAATCAGCGCTTGAAACAGGAGCGAGCTCGGACGCGGGCAAGGACAACAGATTTCTCGCAAGGCAAAGCGACAGACACAAGGATGCAGCGATGGTCGTCAGTTACCGAAGTTGCAACAAATATGTAAATGTGGTGTACGAAAGAATGAACGTCGCTCTCCGAAGCTGACGCCATTGAGAGGCGAGTTCTCATTTTCAAGATTTGACAATTTTAAAGACGGAATTTTGTAAATTTGCTACACTGTGTTAAATAGACTTCGTCTCAGTAACAACAGATTAAAATTAATTGCCCCCAAGTGTAAAAAGGTAAGCACTCGAGTCTATCCTCTATCAAATACATTATGTTTGTATAGATATTTCACTCGGACACCCTTTCAACATTGTTCAAATCTGCTGTGGACATTTAATGTTCCTTATGCAGTGCTTATATGCACAGGGATTGATTTCTGGCGAAACGCGACGGAACTTCGTTCCGGTATCTTTTCCTGTACACATTCAGGAATACAGGATAATGCGCCATGTAAACAGTAGGTTTCGATCAGGTAGTTTGAGACTATCGAGTAGTTCAAACATTGAGGGCGCATCTGTCTCGTGAAAAGAAGGAAATAAATTCTTTCAAACACCTGCTGCGATGTATCAGTGGCAGCATTTCCGTTCTCTCTGCAGCGATTCGGACCCAGAGATTCTAGAGTTGTAATCCTGACAATAGGGAATTTAAACCCTTGCTGCATAGTTGATTCGAAATACACAACGGTCAGGAGGAAGATTCCATCGACTGGTTCTTCTAATTGGTTGTTTTATATGGTTTATCCGATAAATAACCCGTCAGTAAGTGACGAGTACCCTATTAAAGTGTCCAAGGATCATGTGCGATCTTCTCTTCCTCATCTGTGTCCCTTCCTCTCCTTTTACAAGCTCTCTCTCTCTCTCTTACATACACTTTTGCATATACTTACCTTGTATATGTACCGTAGATATACCCCGCATTTCGGGAGGCGAGTCTGGTGCTTAGAGCATCTTTTGGCTGAGATACCTACGGAAGTACCTAAGAAAAAACACCACATGCCAGCGACGTGTAGAACATGGGATTTCACATTTCAGTGGTAGAGGTACACTAACACCTGTAACATGAGATGTAATCTGCACTACATTTATGAGACTAATGACCATAGCAGTTGTGACTTCCAGAAGCACTAAGTAATCAATTAATGAAAAATCATCTTTCATGTATCTATCTTGTCTCCTCCTGGTGACAACTAGTTCGCGCTTTTGGTAGGGGTGTGTTTTGCTATTTGCGTCTATGTAACTGTCAACTACCAGCAATAGTTGCGGTTCAGCTACCTACAACTACATGCAATTGGTGCCGTATGCATGTGGCACGGGCACAATTTGGCGCGCATGGGCGTGGTCGTGTTTTATTGCCTCCGATACCCAATGCAAAGCTACTCCTTTCATCGAGGGAGGGAAAGTTAAGGTTGGCTGCTTTGCGACGGCCAATTTTTACGGAAGAAGCAGAGCTGTAAATCAAAATATTTGAGTTTCCGCTGTGGAAGTTCTTTTTTCTACGCTATTCAACCAATGATCTGTGAAATATGAATAATTCAAATTCAATGACTTGAATTTCTCGATATTTAAACTTTCTCCATTCCCCGTCATGTTAAACAGTAGGTATTTGCTTTATGATATTTGTAACGCCGAAACATGTAATAACCTAATCTTTTTCGTTTCATCAGGTGCGAAGTAACGAGGTTATATTGTATTTAGCTGATTTTATTACTTCGAATTTTCCTAAAATATGTTCACTATCATTCAAGAAATGAAATATGACGACCAATGAATATAATGACTAAGTCATAAACACAGGGTTGAATAAATTGTATTGGTTTTCTTCCCCTAACTTTGTATTTTCGGTGTGTCTCATCAAACTTTCCCATTGGATTTTACTTAGGAGTATTGGGGTAATTTTCGCTTGTCACCACTTCGTACTTTGCATCTTCTCCACATGTTTATATTGTAAAAATATTCTTTTGGTGGTAATATACCTGCCCTGAATAAGAGACTTTTCCTTAGAATGAAAATGCAATATACGCATTTGACCACAATTTCAGAGTCTTTAAGAACACATTGCAATTAAAACCTTTATTGACATTTCTATTTCTATTTTACAGATGAACACGGCAACACTGTGAACGATCAGACTGTCTCAGAATTGGAAGAAGCTGATTCCAATCTCACTAGAAAAGAAAATATGACACCAGCCTCAAGCAACCATGAATGCAATTCAATTACGCAACCACCTGCAAGTAAAAAAGACATTTCAATAATTAATATCGAGATACCAGACGTATCGCAGGAATCTGTATCATTTTTGGAAGAAAATACAAAAATTAAAGTTCCAAATATTTCAAAGATAAAAACAGATAAAAATCTAAGAAATATTGAGGAAATACAAATACTTCCTGACATGATCAATGAACCTTTTTCACGAAAGGAAAACATTGATCGTGCTATTAATTCCACAACATGCAAACGTGAGAAAATGAAACTAGGCGGTTCTGATGAGAAAGCGAGTGCAGATCGAGTTGATGACACGTCCGCTATCATTGTCGAGACGATCGCCAAATTTCCATCGAGGGGCGATGCTTTGGGTAAAGTAAGAAGACCTACTGACACCGATCTCACTCCCACTCCACTCCAAGATGTACAGTCGAATACAAGAAAGATAGAGACACTTAAAGAAGAAAAAAATGGAACCAAACTTGACGGAAAAGGTTCAGATAAGTCGAATTACTCGAGTTGTTCAGATACGAATACTTCTTTGGATAGCGGAATTGAAACGAAGCGGTCGCTGAGTGAAGATGATGTTCGGCCAAATTTAGATACTTTTGAAGGTGAGTCTTATGAATTCTGGGTGTTATTCACGGTCAAACTATGGTAATTTTATCTGTTTGTCAGTAGTTTGAGATTCCAACTGCGCCCAAAGCAATACTACAGGCTGCGATATCTCAGCGACATAACCATTGCCTCTGAACCATCGTTGAAGGTTTTCATATTCGAGTCCAGATACTAGTGTATTTTTGACACTAGCTTCATAGTATGACTATTTGTAGAGCTGGGTCAGGTTCAAACATCCTGTGGAGAGGAATTTTATTTAATTCTCTGATCAGTAATTTTCCATGGTTTCTTGTGTTAATACCGCCGGAAACATACTGTATCAAACGAGATAAGGACCACGCGCAGTTTTTCCTTCCTATCCTTCATTCCTCCCCGCCCCTTACACACACACACACACACAAGAACTATACTACCTCACATGTCGGGAAACCAATTGGGAGCTTAGAGCCGGTCCCATCTTATTCAGTTCCTTATTGGAAGAGATACCTGGGAGGGGGCAATCACTCTCAAGCCGGCAATAGGATCTCGTGGTGGAGGAATGCTACCTTCCGGCTTTAACAAGCACTACACTTGCGGTACTAATTACCTCAGTACTTCATGCTGTTGCAAACAAATACTCCAACATAGTGAGAGAGGTGAGAGAGCTATTTCGTTGCAGACGCCGCCGAGGACGGTGTCCTGGCCTCGCAGACTTACGAGGTGACGCTGCAGAAGGAGGGTGGCTCCATCGGCCTCTGCCTCGAGGTACTGCGCGCACCGCATTTGGACATGTTGCACGAAATTACGCATTTTCTTTACAATTTTAGAGTTTGCACGAAATTATAGATCTTTGAAATTGTGGTTTTTGCACGAAATAATGAATTATCTTTGCAATTGTAGATTTTTCCCGAAATTATTAAGCATCTTCCCAATTGTAGTTTGAACGAAATAATGAATCTTACTTGCAATCGTAGATTTAGCACGACATTATTTATCATATTTGCAATTGTAGGCTTTGCACGAAAGTATTAATATTCTTTGCAGTTGTAAATTTTGCACCTGTACGAATCTTCTTTGCAATTTTAGATTTTGTGTAAAAGAATGTACTTACCTTTCTAGAGCGCCTTTTATCTTAAGATAGTTCCCTGTTAACCAGTACTGTTCCGTATCAATTAGAACATGTCTTCTTTTGATGTTAGTTCACTTGAATAAGAAGCCAACACTACCATCTTGATATGATATCGTTAAAAGAAAATATAATGCTACATGAGAAATACTAATTTAAAATAGAATGTGCCAAGCTGTGTTGTTTCTTTAAAACTTCACTTTTACTAACATTATAGTGCATATTTTCGTGATAAGTATTATATTTATTTTAAAATTGAACCTTGAGTGTGAGGTGCGCACGTTCCCCAAGTGTTTTTTTGCATGCGGTACTTTGTTGTTTTGTAGTTAAGTGAATTTCATGTTTTTATTGTGAATTACAAAAATTTAGTTTTGTATAAAATACACATCATATTAAATTTCGACAATTTTTTTCGTTTCCCGAACTCTTACATTAACGATAGCGACACACTGACGTCTGTACGAGAGTCATCAACGAGCTTAAGAGTTATACGCAGGGACGTGGGTGAACAGGTGTTGTGGTGAAGGGACGCTTTTTTCATGTAAACACAACGTTCATTTGTTTTCTGTCCTGCCAAATTGGTCCCAACTGAAGGCAGCTCCATACAGTTGACATTCGCGGAGCAGCGAGCGACCGGTCGGCCGAATCCCCAGCTGATGTAATAAGCAAATGATTGCTTCCTTTGATGTTTCTAAAAGACTGACATGCGGTAGGTAGAGCGAACATCGAACTTTCGCCGCTTAGCAAATACGAACTAACTCATCCAAACTGATTAATAATTATGCCTAATTTTCCGTGGCGAGGTTCAGAGCATCAGACCTACTCTTACGTCTGAGCTCTTTTCACCGACTGGCAGAGAAAGGCGGTAACAAAATCGGGTTACGAAGCAGGCGATTTGAACTTTGCTCAGAGGCCTCTTTTAGACTTGAGGATATTTTACATTCAGTAAATCTACACCAAGGGTCAGCGGACGTTACTTCTCCAAAGGAAGGCGAACAAAGGAGTTTTTCGCTTTAAAATCCATAACATTAATCGGTTTTGACTCCGACAACTTGAGTAAAACAGTCCGGTAGGCTAACCGTTACACCACGAATATAAGAGTTGTACGCATGGCCATGACGTGGCGCAACAGCTACTGCAGTGGAGGGATTCTTCTCTCACGTAAACACTACTTTCGCTTGTTTTTTGACCTTTCAAATTGGTCACTTCTTAAAGGCAGCTTCACACATTCGACATTCACCGAGCAGCCGACATTTGACACTCTCGAACCCACAAACACGATCGGCGAGCGGTCGCTCGCTAATCGTCCGATGTCGACTGCGCGGAGCCGCCTTTAGGGTAGCGGACCTTGCGAGGTGGTGCTCCTCGGGGGTAGGGGAGAGGGAGCGGGGGCTGAGGCGGCTGTCTGCGCAGGAGGTGGTGTCGGAGGACGGGCGCGCGCGCGTCTTCGTGAACGCCGTGCGGCCGCTGGGGCCCGCCGCCGCCTCCGCCATCCGCGAAGGTGAGTCCTGGCCCCCAAGGCCTCTGCCATCTCCTAGCTGCTAATTGAACAGTAGGAACTTTGTGCTTTTGATGCGCGCTGCCGAAGGTGTAAAATAATAGTTGTTGTTGTTGTTGTTATTGTTCACTTTTCATTGAGGGGAATTAAAGTGAATATGGTGCGAGTGATATTTGTCAGTGTTTCTCGAGCTGGGTTTTTAAATTATTGTTTACGCTGAATACAGAATTCTTATCTAAACATACAGACACTATCTACACATCGAGAAACTAAAACAACAGTTTTAAATTGTTTATGAGTCCAAATTGAAATAGCGCTGTTCTGTATCCCGAATAAACTGAAATCTCAAAATACGGAGGAATCCGATTTATGCCATACATCCCAGCCCCCTGTTTGTGTCTACTTTATACGTGTAATCATGCTCTATCAATGTCATTTCTGGCATTTGATTCGACTCAAACACTTGTTCTATTCGTCTTGAAACATATCACTTTGGTCTGTGGTTTTTATCTTAGTTTATCCTCGTTACTGGATTGGCTTAATGATCGGAAATTTTCGGACCTTTTTACGTCATAATGTGATCAGGATGTCTCAGTATATTCTTGAGTTGAAAGAAGAGAAGGTTAAAACAGACGCGGATAAAGAAGAACTTAATTTGACACTAGAATAGTTTCATAAATACGGTTCGATGTTCTGAGTTTCAAAGATACACTCCAAATTTCTTATAGTGTAATACCGTCAATCAGACCAGCTTCTTGCTTGAATCATGGTTTAACTAAGCTATTATGAAATGATGATGTCAACTGTGATATATTTAAATAACATGGTCCCCTCTAGGAATCACAAGAGATCATTTTGTTTAAAAAAGAAACTAATTTTATTACAAAGCTGATTTTCAAGAATTACTTACATTATTGAGAGCGTAGGCTTCCGCGGCCGGAGTATATTGTAACGTTCCTCCGTGGTGAATTGAAACCAACACAATATTTAACAAAGAATGTTTATACGTGAACAATTATACACTAAAATCTACTTGGTCTATTTACAGATATATTACAATTATTTATTTTTCTTTACACACGATTCCGTTCTCTTGATGATTTATTTACACAGTTCACTCCTTACACACTATTTATTTATACTGTTCTCCTCTTCTGCAGTATCAGCCAGTCCGATGCTCTGTCCACGGTCCACTGCACTTGACCCAATTCCCTGCACAGACCACAATTCCCCTACGCAGGCCACAATTCCTTGCGCAGACCACACTTCACTGCGCACACCAGGGTCCACTGCACTGCTGTTTACCGCGATGCCCACTTCACAGCTCAGCTTCCACTGCAGACTTCACACTGCTGACTGCTGTTTCCCCACTGCACCACTGCTTACCGCGATGCACCCTTCACAGCTCAGCTTCCACTGCAGACTTCAGACTGCTGACTGCTGTTCAACCGCTGCACCACTCTTCACCGCAATGCACATTTCACAGCACAGCTTCCACTTCGGACACACTGACGGACTGACTGCTTCTCTGCCACTCACTGACGCCTTACTACCCACTGACTTCAACTCACGTCTTGTACTAACTGACTCGCGGCCGCCGGCAGCGGCGCATTTATACCTGCCGGGCGCTTGTCTCCAGGCACCCGGCACATTCTCGGCGTTTCCCGCGGCTCGCGGATAGTCCGGAACCGTCTAGTTCGGGGGGGAGGGAAGGGGCGCCGGCAGATGACGCAATCCACGCGCAGCGAATTCGGCAGGTGACGCAATATTCGTAACAATATAATTGGCTGTCCGGGTGACGCCGCGTCCATGGCAAAGATGCTGACGTTTCGGTCGCCAATCTGCGACCTTCCTCACGGCGTAATGAGGAAGGTCGTAGAATGGCGACCGAAACGTCGGCACCTTTGCCATGGACGCGACGTCATCTGGACAGTCAATTATATACTTACATTATTGTATGGTGAATAATTCCCTCAATTTCTCTCCTCTTTGCAACATTTTCTCATGAGTTTATTTCTTACAGATTCTCTTCATTATCTAAATAATTTGCTCAGTGGACCAAATGCCTCTAATATGTCAGCTGTTGACAAATGCTTGTGAATGTGCTGGGCTGAATCTGTGGATGTTTTTTGTGTAGGAGAGAAAACGTTTCGTCAAACGAATTCTTCTAACTCTACTACTTACATTTCTGGAGACATCGTCCTTCAAACAGTTATATATTATTCTTTATCTATAAGAATGTTGTACCAACTATTTTGTTTCGAGATACTTATTTGAATTTATGGAACGTTTATAGTAATATGCTTCATTAGAGCGATGTGGAGCAAATAACAGGCGCTGTTCAAGTTCGTAAACCGATGCGGCGATGACGAAACAAAATATTAAAAAAGACTGGTTTTTCAAACAAGAATTTCATAATACATCAATATAAGCATGTGTAAACAATATTAGTTACTAAACGGCTGAGACAAAATCATGAAACATCGACTTGAGACGCCATCGCTTGCTCTTGTTGTCTGAACCGGACGCAGCTGTTCGTGTCCTTTTGCACGGCCACCATAAGCTCATAAATTCTCGGCTATCCGGGAGACGCCGCGTCGTTGGCTGGGGTGCCGACCTTTCGCCTGACATGTCACAGGCTTCCTCAGGGTAGTGACGATAAGCTCACCTGTTTATCCCCTCTATTGGAACATCTCGGCCGTTCACTCCATGCCTGGCAAAACGTGCGATTCCAACTCTTAGTATGAACTAGTGAGTGAAGCGCTAAGATATTGTTGGGTGCGCCCTGTTTCTTCGACAAATTTACTGAGTTTTAGTGGCTTTGTTAATTGACTTACATTATTTAAAAATATAATAGTTTTATTGTGACAAAACAATATTGGTTCACTGAAACTGGAAGAGAAGCTTTTGATGGTACAGAAAACCCAGCTCTTGGTTATTACTAAAGTTACTAAAACAAACAAAGTTGACAGCAGGCACATTTATATTGTCAAGTCGAATAATGGTCCGGGAGAAGCATCCGGGCTTCTTTATAATAATAATAATAATGTAATAATAATAATAATAATAATAATGTAATAATAATAATAATAATGTAATAATAATATTAATAATAGTAATAATAATAGTAATATTAATAATGTTAATATCTTCATCACTCTGGACATACAATCTATTAAGAATTTATCCGCGATCTTCATTTGTATGTAAATTATAAACACCCTCTTCTCTTTGCTTATTTAATTATCCTACTACTCCATATGTTGCCCGAATTTTCACTAACAAGAAAAAATGTATAGGTGTCGGTACGTTAGATCGTCCGTACGGACTCCCGATGACGAAATATTTGCGTACACGGGATTACTTATTCTAACATAGGCTCGGGAATTCTCTGAAATCGTCCTCTGAAATCACTACACTTACAATATTCCGATCAAATACAGCGTTAATGCAGCACTGTAAATACATACATGCATTCATACATAATATTCTCCTGTTTAAGTTTTCATCACAATAGCAACCATTTAATTACCCTTTTGCGTCATTGATTGCACCATTTGCAACACTGATAAATGCAATACTAGTAGAGAAATGGAATTAAGTAAGCAAATATGTTGTAACAAACAGATATTTCACAAATTTAGAAATTAATAAAATGTATTAAAAGTTTGAATATTAGGAGGAATCATCACAATACATTGATGGGGTTAAAGTAATACAGTTTGATCTCTGTGAATTTTGATTATGAAACAACGATCGAGCTATATTGAGATCTTAGGATTCTGTTTCTGAACAGTATTTTTTCTTTTTTTTATCTTGTGTTATATCTAAGTTATAAATCATTGGTTCTAATCAATCTCAAAGTTCAGAAAGAAGGCTTTAAAATAAAATATTTTAATAACGCGTAATTCACGTTTGTAATCTAAATTGACAAAAAACTGTTACTGTAATAACAAGAAAGTTAACGTAAGTAAAAAAGATAGGATGTTGCAAGGGTCTGGAAGTGATATTGTAACATCGGTTTGACAGAATACTACACTTGAATCTTAAGCCAACCTTTTAGCATACTGTTTTTTCATTACTTTTTGTATTATGGTATGGGAATGTATGGGGGTTGGAATTATAATTAGTGGTCTAGTGAATTGTAGATAGTTACCTTCAGTGAGACTCGGAGGAACTCAGGTGGCTCAAGAGATCTCCGCTCCTCGTAGTTGACGTCCTCACTCACCATAAGAAAACAATAGGGAAAGAGTTTCAGGATCTACACGTGACATACGATTAGACAAAAGTTTAAAAAAATAATTTCATTACGTTGTTGCTAGTAATGTTTACTAAATTTCTACGTGTGTTTGTATGGATCCTACGTTTCGAAGGATTAAAATAATTTATGTTTCGGCAAAAACGCGTCTCCAGGGATTTTTCTGCGCCTTCGATATAGAAAAACTAAAATAAATACTTATAATACATTTCACAATACTAGTTGCCCTCATACTCTCCTGTCATGCCAGGGAGGCGTCAGCAGTACTGCTACGAACAGGAGGCAATAACTGAGGGAGACCGTTATTTGATGACCACTGTAGAAGATTTCGCGGAGTCATTCTCAATGCTTTCATACCTGAAGTTTTCATTGCCAGTGCGCCTTACTCATCTTCCTTCCTTACATATTTAACGTTATATAAAGAGCTGTGACATAGAACCGGAGGTGCTTGAGAAGTTCGCTTAGAAATGGACGTGATAAAATCTCAGAAAGCGGAAAATTACGTCTTCCGCTGGCGCCGTACTAAAAGCAGCCAAGCAGCAGGGACGAGGCGTGAGCGATTGTTTGTGTTCTGTGGCGTCCAACTGGCCTTGCTCCTGCTCCACATTTATAACGCAAGCTTTTAATAATTCGTGCAATATTTCTTTCTGAAAGTATATACTAATAAAATTGATTAATAATTAGCTTCAAGTTAATATGATCACTTTGGAATGGTCGTTATCAGAAACTTCCGCTTACTAAGGGTCTAATGCGTCATGTCTATTGAGAAACGTTCAGAAGTGGAAAATTAACAAAGAAAACATCCATAAAAATTTCCAAGAAAAACATTTGTTCTTTGCATATGTAGTACACGTTGCGAAACAATAAACTTGTGATATTGTGCTGCAGAATAGCGTTGTGGACATGCTATAAAGACGTGTAATAAATGACAATTTTTACAAAGTAAGTTTGATAAAAGACAACATTCACATGAAGCTTCCGTATAAGCTTTGTATGATAATGTGACATTGAAAGAAAGAGCTACGGAGGGTCATCAGAGGCCTACAAAAAATGTAGGGGAGATCAGAGAGCGAGAAGAATAGAAAATTTCGCAAGGGTTGTAGAAAAAAAACAACCTTGAAACTAGTCCTGCTACAGAATGGCACAAAATTTCCCGTATTAGTTTTCTATTTTCTTTATTCTGGGCTATCTATACGAACTTGCCACATACTCTTGCTAGTTGCCATCTATCAACACACAATGTACTTTTTTTCAAATTTTCGTAATTATTTTGGTTTCGTAATAATAGACGGAAATATTTATTTTATGAATATTAAAGAACAGTAAATGCTCGTCCAAAATTGTAATTTACGTTGAATAAATTCCAGCATCTTTTACGCTTAAGATCTACTGTAAATTCTAATTTTGAAGTT